TCGATATATAGCATGTCCTTGACATTTCACTCTCAGTATTCTCAAATCTTTCTGTGGACGTCTTTTCGCAAAGATGTAAGGCAGCGCGCACTGCCCCTAGCAGACTCCAACAAGGACCGTTCGATATTACTTATTCTGTAGATTATGGAGCGCTAAAAGGTATTCACAGGCGTCTTTCCAATGGAGATAGAACAACTGGTAAATTGTAAAAAAAAATCTTGTTGCCCCAAAGTCTACTCGTCGTAACCCTAGAATACAGGGCTATCTTGCTAAGCAGAAATGAGTTTTGTATTCAGCAAGTCGGATAACCCCTATGAGCAAGTTTTTAGAGAACTTCGGGTTATGTGATTTTTTCTCGTTTCATGCTCTGAAGCTCGCCAGTGGGTTTTGGTGGAAATGTCGATGATCTTGATTTGGAAAAAAAATCCGCTCATAGAGGTTTTCGAACACGCTGTTTATGAAAATCGTGTTCACTGTCAACTATAGGTCTTTTTGCAGAGAATGGTAAGTGTAACGGAGTCACGAAAGCTCGTAACTTGCCTGCACTCTCGCGTATCTATCAGAGAACTTGCCTGCTTGCGCGCTGCTTTACACCTTTGCGAGAAGAGTCCAGAGAAAGATTTGAGAATACTGAAATCGGAATATCAAGGACATGCTGTATATCGAAAGTTTTGCCTCGATAAACTGAGCACAAAGTTTTTCTCGGATTCGGAATATATTCATTCCGAAGGAAGTTACGGTGAGTAGAATTTAGAAACGCGTGATTTTTCCAAAATTCACCAACGCTTTTATCTCTTTGAAAGACAGTCTGCAGCTACTTTCGAACGCACGATAACCTACAAAATCAGTATCGAATAGTGCTTATTGTTATTTTTCGTGTTACACAGACGCTGCGCTGCATCCTTGCGAAAGGACCTCCACAGAAAAAATTCGAGAAAACTGGAAACAAAATATCGAGGGCATGCTGTATACCAGAAGATTTGCCTTGACGAGCTGAACACAATGCTGTCTCTGAATTCAGGGCCCGTAGTAAACCCCTCGTGGTTGTCACAACATAGAGGGACTACGTCGTGATAGCTCGGAGTATCTCGCAAGACTATAGCGAGCTGTCCGCAGGGCGCCGCAAAACGAGCGCCCCCGCGCGTCATTGAACCGCTGATGACCGCGATAACAGCGTTCACACGCGCTGTGCTATGAGTACAGATAAGCCGTGGGGTATTTGCTTAGCAAGGCAAGAATGTAGTATACTATGCTTGCCAGAGCAGGTAAATCAATCAAAGGAAATCCAATAACTAACTATCCTCGTGTGTGCGCGCCTCTTTCTCCATATTTTGACTCATTATCTCATGTTCATCAATATTGATAGGAAAACGCAGTTGATCCATGTCTGTTGCAGAATTATGCTTATCTTTGTACACCATGCTGTAAGAAGCGCCATTATCCGCTATGGCAGGACCATACTTGACTGTTGCCCTCAATAAAAATTGAGCGTGTCAGCCAGTGCCAGATTCGTGCCAGCTCCGTGCCAAGACATAGATGGTCTAGCAGCGTGCACATTCGCTGCGCTGTATGCTACTACGCCGTGCTTTGCTAGGGAGAGGATACATGTAGCAAATAGAGCAGTTGCAGCAAATCAGTATGGGAAAACGATATGCATGCCTTATCCTTAAGTATTGTTGAAGAGTTAGCTACTACTTTTGCAATTATTGTGAAACAGCTCAACAACTCAACATAGCTTGTAGTTAGCGCAGTGCCAGTGTGAGAGGCCGGTGTGCTAGACGTTGGGGGTAAAAGTTCCAGGCGACGCTATCTTTTTTTGCTGGCAAACTGAATTTTGCAAAGGAACGTGAATTAGAATTTTCTTTTTGAAAGAAAATGGAATTTAAAGTAGAATACATATTGAAAGTGTACAAGAAAAATCAAAATATTATCATCATCATTCAGTCCGTTCAAAAATGGGCTATTCCATTAGCCATAACGCCAGACGGTCCTTTCTCATAAACACGAAAGGAAACGAGAGGTGCATGGCTAACGAACAGCAACCAGCAAAGATATGTGGTCGAAACTGCCAAGAATGATGAAAAGATCAAGAATTTGCGAAAGTTTGGCACAATGAAGGGACTTTTTGCTTAAACAAGGTGCATAGCAAAAATAAAGAAGAAAAACTGCATAAGTACGAAAAATATGGCTAAGTATGAGTCTAACATACTTTTTAGTTAAAAGAAACTCACCTTTTTTCAAATACCAAAGCGGCAGCAGCAGAAGTACTTGGAGAATAGGGAGAGGCGCATTGCTCGAACAGTTAGGCGCTTATCAGCTGTTGATATTGATTGCGGTTGACGTGCGTTATAGAGAACTGTGTGCATGTGCGACCTATTGCGAGGTTGGCGTAGTCGAGCTCTAGTCTTGCGCTATGTCTCTGCGTCTCTATGACGGACAAAGTATTTCGCCGTCTTGTTCGTCACGACATGTCGCAATATGTCGCTATATGTCGCGATATGTCGCGACATATCGCGACGAAGTGCGACTATCCTGACGCTACGCATCGATTGCATCCGCCGGCAATGATAAAGGATAGCCGCTTTGCCAGCCTCGCTCCATGATAGTCAGCACATGTCACAGCATACTCCGAGCTATACGTCACGACGTCCGGGGGGTTTACTACAGGCCCAGATTATATTCATTCCGAAGGAAGTTATGACGTTGCGTATTCTGCGTGATTCCCGTGATTCCGCGGATTCTGGAATGTCGCAAACTCCCCGAAATATCGTTGACCCTGGCGTAAATCCCGGAATTCCGCGAAGTTTACGGAATTTTTGCACATTCTGTGAGCGGTATTGTAATCTTGAGCAGATTTTAGAACAAATTCGACCAGGGTGACTCTCTACCATACTCCTACAGTATACTTTTAGTGTGCCATCAGCGACAAATCAATGACAGTACTGTTATCAGCACATTGAACAATTCAACCAAACAAAAATCTGCAAGATTGAGCGAAAGCTTACTGTCTAGCGTACACCTATCATATCCTGCTAGATTGTGGGACATCTATATACTGAATGATGCGTTTCGCGGAGCTGAATCGAATGTCCTCGGATTCAGAATTTGTCCATTCTGAAGCGAGATACGGCGATGCGACGCGTATTCCGACGAACCTTAGTGATGTGCGGCGCACTCCGCTGCTCTCCGAACTCTAGTGGAGTGTGGCGTACTCTGCCGTACTTCGGCGCACTGCAGCGCACGCGGACCTCAGTGCAGTGTGGCGCACTCCGCTGCACTGTGGACTGCGTCGCACTTCAGCACACTGCAGCGCACTCCGGAGTGCACCGCAGTCCAGCGACTTTTTTGACGAATCATGAGCAGTATTGTATGTTAATTTGCTGTTGGTTGCATTTTGATGGGGCACTGTAGGAGTACGGGAAAGACTCTGGCATAGATATGTTCAGAGACTTGCTTGGAGTGACTTCTTGATGCGTTGATTGCAAAAATTATGCGCAAGTCGTAACTCACTATGTGAGCCTGCACACTGCTCGCAGGCAATGACACCTTAGTGGTACTCCCTACTAAGGCCTCTTGTAGCGGAACAAACAGCGGGATATCACTATCTAACATATGAAGCTGAAAGGCTGAAAAAAACAGGGAATAATCCCAGAAATGATAGCTTCTGCTTTTGAATGTCGTGAAGTAACAGGTTCGATGTGGATACGCATATTGAGTTACAAAGACTCGACGATGCATTCATTTGTCGTCGCAGTGTAGAGATACTGTAGGAGAACGAAGTGATGTCAATTTGCTCGAGTTTGTTTACTGTTTAGTTTGTTGCTTCCATGCTCGCTCAAAAAAAGAGTAGTTACTTTCAAGATGTCGTCTCAAAAGCTGTCAGTTATTTTCTATCCATAGCAAATACGCGAAATAGCCGTACATAATAAGCTTAATTTTTTTGCGGGCGTGTTTTCGCAATGTTATCGTGCAGCGCATACTGTAGAAAAAAGCTTTAGGCTGCGTTCATACTGACCACGAAGTCCAAGAACAGTTCCAGCACAGTGCTCAATCCGAGCGCTCTGCTGGAACTGTTCCCGGACATCGGAATCATTATGAACGCAGCCTTAGTAAGCACCACTTAGTAGAACTGCTCACACATTATTCTCAAGTCACACCCGCCATAGCATTTTAGCCGTGTTGTAATGCGCGTATAACCGGAACTCGCCAAAATACATTTTTCAAACTTGGGGCAAAATTCATGAGAACATAAGTTTGTAAACTCATAACCTTGCGAGTAGTGCGATAGAGGCTTGCGATAAGTATGCTCCGATAGCGCTGCTCACAGAGTCTCTAACATGCAAAAACATACAGGCGTTCTTCGAAAGTTCGGGGAAAAACGCAGGCGAGGGCGATATTTCGTGGATTGTTTATTTCTCTCTCACTATAGCTTTCTGTAGGTCTGGAAGCCACTGTGGATGAAGTTTCCGGTCTAATTTTTGATTTAGAAATTGTTATGTTTTTCACTTATTTCTTTCACAAACATGCGTAGCACTGCCGTAATAAATCGATAACAAAACCTGTGACGTTTTCATTTAGTTTTTGCTGATGTAAATAACTTTGAGAATGAGCGTGATCAGTGGGAGACTTCGTTCGGGATCATACACCGCCCAGACGGGCGATTGATACATACCGCCCCTGAATTGATAGAGCTTTATTAAGGGCCATTGTGAGATCTGTTGTTAGAGCCGCCAGAGATGAAGTCCTTGGAGAGCAAATTTGTGATTTATAAGATAGTCGATTTGTTTCTAAGTAAATAGTATTCCGCTTCAGTATGTGGCTTTGTGAGATTGGTGATGGTCTGCAAAATCATGAATTTCACCTAAAGCCGTAGCGAGAACATAAATAACCTGACCGATTTTGCGATCGAGTCGAAACTCACTACTTGCTTCTCTTGCTGTTAATAAGCATATTTTCTGATTTTTTTGCAAGTTTCGACTTCGCAAAGATCAATTTTGCAGGAATCACCCACGTCTTCCCATCCACTTGACCCTAATGGTGATGGTAGTGACAGAAATGAAGAGACTCCACATGACTCGCCAAAAATCGAAAGCCAAGAAGTTGGTAACTTTTAGCTAGTCCCTTCTTTCTTCAATTTTCTGCTGAAATTGAATAAGTTTGATTAAAATTATGAGAACCCATATAAGTTCTCATGTATAATGGAGTACCGTGTTATCAAGACTTATATCCCGTTACTCACGCGCGTCAATTAAAGGCAGCGGCTCGGCAGATTTTCAACTTCGGGGTTTTGGCAGATTCGGGGCTATTCTGGCCTCCTGAATCACGATATGAACTCCTTTGCGCGAAATTGGGGAAAATCCCGCCTTTTGAAACCCCCCTTGAGACGGGCGCGGACGAGTGAGCCGTTTTTCTCTGCCGTCAGAGACGCAGAGTAAGGAGGTAGGGGACGCTAGAACAATTCCGCCCTACGAAGCTACGAGTGACGGCGCGTTTTATAGCGGAGAACATACTCGTCCAAACAAGGTGTTAGGGGAGCGAAAAGAGGAAGGGGAGCGGCGCTTGGGCCGCCCCTGACTTGCAGAGTTCACATTTTCGGCGCGGAGTTGCTGTTTTGGTTCACTTAAAGGGCCTCCTATCCATTTGTGTCAAAATTTGAGGTAGGTCAATCTGCTGAGCCGCTGCCTTTAACCGTTATGGACCGCGAAATCGCGCGCGGCAAAATAGCGTGCTACGCCATGTGTAACACGAGGAATGTTGAGGACCAACTTTTTTTACGCTGCATAATTTTGAGCTAAATCCGTGGAAAACTTGCGCTAAGCGTCGTATTTTCAATTCTCTTGTGAATGCTTCCAGTGTTCATCATAGGTCATGGTCAGAGGTGCGATAGTTGGAGCCGAGTCTCCGCCTACCTTCACTTTTGAGCTGATACCTGGTGACCACCTTCACTTTTGGGTTTGAAAAATTTTTTGCTAAAGGTTGAAAGAAGGAAAATGAGCAAAAGAAACGCAAAAGAAAGTATTGAGAGCGTATATCAATGTAGTAGGTCAATCTAGGCAGTAACCGCAGAGAACCAGTATGAATGACAAAGTAGCGAAAAATCATGCGAAATTTCCACTGTAATAAATCTGGTGGTTGAAGATATCAGCAATTGCGACTTCATAGGTTTTCAAGGGCAAGTGTTGTTCTACCAGATAGTGAAAGAATCTGGTCGATTTGAGCAGTGGCCGCCGAGAACGAGAATTTTAAAAAATTAAGCGATTTTAGGCTACTTAGTGACAGCTGACGTTGAAACTCTTATAAATCTGGAATGTGAAGGTGAGCAATGTTGCGACTTCATAGGTTTTGTAGAGCAAGAATTTCTCTAACGGATTATGTCTTAGCGGTACCGATCTATTGAAATAGCGCCGAGATTTAAGGTCTTGAAAAAGCAGGTAAAAAACCGCTTTCTGAATTTCAACAGCTCATAACTTCTTAAGAATTGCATGAATCATGTTGCGACTGCATGGGTTAGATTCTTCTTATCAAGAGCTTTCAGATGGTATATAACAGTTGGGGGGGGGGGGGGGGGTTCAATGATTTTTGCGGCTCTAACCCAGGGTGGAGACTTTTCAGCCCAAAGTCTCCACCTCGCCCATGTTAATGTATTGGCCGGAGACCGCCAGTGGAGACTTTGGGGTGAAAAGTCTCCACCCCCGGGCATATGCCGTTAAAGGCGCGAAACCCCCACATATTATATATCATCTGAAAGCTCTTGATGAGAAGAATCTAACCTATGAAGTCGCAACATGATTCCTGCAACTCTGAGAAGTTCAAAAAGCGGTTTTTTACCTGCTTTTTCAAGACCTTGAATCTCGGCGATATTTCAATGGATCGGTACAGCTAAGACATATTCTAATAGGTCAAGCTTCACCCTACGAGACTATGAAGTCGCAACATCACACACCTTCAAAGTCCGGATTTATAAGAGTTTAAATGTCAGTTGTCATTGAGCAACCTAAAATCGCGTGATTTTTCAAAATTCTCGTTCTCGGCGGCCACTCCTCAAATCAAACTGATTCTTTCACTATCTGGTAGAACAATACTTGCCCTTAAAAACCTATGAAGTCGCATTTGCTGACATCTTCAACTACCAGAAACAGTGGAAATTATGCATGATTTTACGTTATTTTATTATTCGAAATTTTGGTTCTCGGTGGTTACTGCCTGGATCGACCTACTTTATTCGCAATACGTTATAACAAAATTTACTTAATAAAATACGTAAAGTCTAACTGGGTTTTACTTACAAATAGACCTTTTGAATAACACGTTTATTTCTTTTTTTATTTTTATGCCGCTGTACTCATCGTATTTGTGGCCCTAAAGAGGGCCGTTATCACACTTGTTGGCCCTCAAGAAGACCGTTGGGTCAGAGTTCTTCAATTATCCGAAGTCCCCCCCCCCCGGTCGACGTTTTTGAGAGGTGAGTGTCCGGCACTACCACCTTCACTTTTGGCCGGCCAGTGGTGGCTGGAACCACCTTCACTTTTGGGGAGCCCGGCTCCACCTATCGCATCTCTGCTCACAATGATCGAAGTTGGAGTTATTGTTTGCGCTTCTGTCCCATAAACTTATACCAATCCGAGAGCAAAGGATTGTTACAAAGGATATGCCTGGCTTTTTCGACTAAATCAAACTTGTACAAATACTTGAGATAGCAAAAAGTTATGATTTTTCAAAGACGGTGCTCAGAATTTGCACCAACCCATAAAATGTTAGGTTTTTTATAGTCAATGCAAGTTCTCTACAAGCTAGCGCATAGCTTACTTTCCTATGTACTTGAATGGCGCAAACTTTGCTCATTGTATAGCCAATGATCGTTTAAATGGTGTGAAACCCGAACTTTATGGGAGTTTTCTGCGAAAAAAAAATATTGCCAAACAATCGAAAGTGACCACATGTTTCTGCATTCTAGCATTGAACATCTAGCCTCTGAGAATGTTATAGCACAAAACTTTGCATTCATATCACATGTTTTTTGCGACAAATTCGGGCGTTTCTCGTGATTGGAAGCAAGTAGAGTAAAGGAAAAATTTCATATTTTAGTCTCTTATCTTTGGGGGCATGGAACACCCGTTTGAACCAAGACGTTCGGAGACGAAAGCATATATAAGAAATTAGACAAACTTGCTTTTGGATAAAATAAAAAGACGGTTCTACTTCAAGAAGTTGTTTGAAAAGAAAGTAAGAAAATATACATTGACTATGAACCAACCTAATATATACTCAGATTTGCCCGCACAATCTTTTACTAGATAATTATCACGACAGTTATCTCTCACTGGCTCACGAAGTGGTCAGATGACTGCTCCTGGCAGCTTCCTTTTTGTACAGCCTAGTAGTTAGTGTTTAATATGCCGATAGTACCTTTTGAGGAAATGACCATTACGCGCAAATTTTGTTATTTGCAGTTACTGCCTGGATCGACTTACTTTCTTCGCAGTACGTCATAACAAAATGTACTTGATAAAACACGTAAAGTTTAGCTGAGTATCACTCACAAATACACTATTTCATTAACACGTTTATTTAAAATATTTATGCAGTTGTACTCATCGTATTTGTGGCCCTAAAGAGGGTGGCCCTAAAGAGAACCGTTGGGTTAGAGCTCTTCAGTTATCCATAGTCATCATGAAGCTTTGCTCTATCGTAGGAAGTGCTGAGGCGTATATATATGCGTCCATGCCGGTGATGGCCTCCAGGTGCTCGCAGTAGGCGACGGCGACTTATTAAAAATAAACTCATAGAATATGCTGCCAATGCTTTCTTTTGCGTTCGTTTTGCTTAATTTCCTTTTTTTCAGTTTCAGCAAAAAAAATCAAAACCCAAAAGTCCGAAAAAACCCAAAAAAAACCAAAAAACCCAAATGCAAAGTCCGTCCTGTGCTCCTCCCCCTCTCTCTACCCCCCCCCCCCCTCCCGCGGTCAACGTTTTTGAGAGGTGAGTGTCCGGCACTACCACCTTCACTTTTGGCCGGCCAGTGGTAGCTGGAACCATCTTCACTTTTGGGGGGCCCGGCTCCACCTATCGCACCTCTGGTCATGGTCCTACATTTTGTAGCAGGAGTGGGAGCTATCTGGCTACACCAAAATTGGGCCTCGAACTTCCATGGTAGGTCGATTTGTCTTAAACGGTCCTTGGATTTATCGACTTGATAAACACGAGTATCACCTTCTTCTCGCACAAAAAGCCCAGGTTGTTAGGGTAATTATTTAGTAGGCGAGTAAGAATCTCCGAATTTTTCAAAGTTTTATGTAGAGGGGTTTTTCAGCATTCTGATCAGTTATGATCTCGTTTGCGATTGAAAGGGCGTTTTTACGCAACATAAGTGGGTGACGCAGCAGTTTTGACCATATGTGAGTTCTCATGCGATCCATCGACCACATATCCACTGTTGCATCAGGAAATCGCGCCTTTTTGCCAATTTACCACGATGTTCGTGATCAGCATGCTAAATGATCGACCAAAAAGTAGTCAAATCTGCGACTTTGACACCTGCCATATATGTACCTTTCTACCGTAACCATACGAAGAGAGGTTTTCGTTATCAAAATAGGAAAGTTTTGTTTCCTAATCAGCATTTGTTTTTCCCCTTGAACATTTTTCCATTTTCAGCACGAACTGCGCGAAGGTTCTGTCGCATGCAACGTTTGCAACGACGCACCGATTTGCAATAATTTACTGTTTTTCACTTCTTTATCCAAGAAAATTGAGCTGGCGCATGATCAGAAAGGTGTGTTGGACAGTAGACCTGTACCTTTACGATGGCATTTTTATATCGGAAGGAGACCGATTGTAGGAAGCAGGAGACAGTTGCAATCTTGGTGATACAGCATGTGCAGCACTGGTCCCAAAACGTTTTGAGCAAATGCCGCGCGCGACAGGCTGGCAGTATCCAGCATGCAGAGAGCTCAAGCAGCAGGACTTGCAAGGCATGCTATTCCATCGTTTGTATCAGAGGGTTTCACGCCATCATAACATTTTTTACCACTTATGTGAAGTTTGGCATGGCACGGGTCTCTCCCCATAGAAGGATCAGACAATCGCCGATCAAAAGCGACCCCGCTCCTGCTTTGATAAGCGAGCGGAGCCCTACCTCCACTAAATGTTTGCATCCTAATTCATTGGGTAGGTGTGTGGGTGTTTGAAGTTGCCTCTAACAAATAAGCTCCGACCGTTCGTCGCGGGCGTTTTAGGCCAAACAAACTATCCCTTCGAGTGAATTAGTTGCTCGATTAATGAAATTATGGAAAGCTCGCTTAATTTTGAGAGAGCCACTGGCAAGGCAGCGTTAGGCAGGCGCTATACTTCTCGAGGAGTGTAGCATGGCGACGATCGATATGCATCAAATACGTGTAAAACCGGCGATTTTTGTCGCCGATATTGGCGATCGCCAGTCGTAACGACTGGCGATCGCCCGTCGCCAGTCGTCGTCGACAGTCGTCGCGTCGTCGCCCGTCGCCCTCCTCGAGGAGTATAGCGCCTACCTTAGAGGGGACAAAGTTTAGGAGGCGCTTTAGGCTGCCGAAAACGGGACGGACAATGATGAGATCTGTACTTACAACGCAAAGACTCTAGCATCGGACGCATCTATCGGGGACCTCATGATGCAAGCAAGGAAGTTTAAATACAAAGTTACCGCACTGACGGAGACAAGGAGGCACCACCCGCTGAATGCCAAATTTGAGAATGGAGAAGAAATGTCTTTATGAAAATGCGACAGTAGGGGAGTAAGCGGTGTAGGAGTTTTTGTCAATACGAGTTTGACCACGAACATCGATTCTAACAACTCACAAACCAAATCGGACGATTGTGAATATCAAGATGTGGATCAACTCCGTCTTTAATAACCGTCTTCATTGCTTACGCCCCAACATCCTGCGTTGAATACGAGCTTGAAGCATATTATAAGGACTTGAAGTTTTACAGAGAAGATCACACTTTTTAGAAGAAGATGAAAAAAAAATCATCATCGGTGATTTCAACGCAAAGATCGGAGCTAGAAGGTCGCCTACGGAACTTTGCATCGGAGCCCATGGTTTACAGTAGAACGAACAAGGGATTGTCCGAGCTTACCATGACACGAGGACCATCCATATTTCAGAAGCTCCTCTCCCGACGCTGAAGCTGGGAATCGCCTGGTGGAGAGTACCATGACGAAATTGACCACATCATCGTCAACAGAAGGTCTTGCCTGACAGACGTTACCGTTGTTGTGAAGTTCTACACGGAATCGACTATCGCCTCCTATGTGCCAAGTTTTACTTCATACGGAAAGGAGAGAAAGCCGCCAAATTCAGGACATCGTCCCATGACTGTCAACAATTGGAATCTGTTATTTTCAATATCAGACTTATGGTAGGATAACGTGGTCGACAACAGCGACGAAAAAACGAACAGTTTGTTCTACAAAGAGAGAAGAGTGGCAGTGATAATGGTTGACGCCGCGGAGGCTGAAAGAAGTATATGCAACGCCCGCAACGCTTCGTCAACTTTAAGACAAAGATGACTGCACTTCGTCCCTCTGACGGAATCATAACTGCTTACCGTAAATGAAGAAGGTCATCCGCGACTTCTACTCAAACCTTTTGACAGCCACGTCCACCTGCGTCCAAGTCACCTGAGGGAGGACGAGCATGTCGCATCGTCTGTTCTTCTTTCCGAGATTCGACAGCTGTCATGTCGATGAAGGACCGCTTAGCATCCGGTTTCGACGGGACTAACTCAGAATATCTGAAGAATTTTTCGCCAGTCCTCACGAAGACCTTGGCAAAGCTCTTCACGCGGTACCTGACGGAAGGTAAGGTTCCAAGACAATGGAAGACCAGCAAGACCGTATTGCTGTTTAAGAAGGAAGATTTTTGCGACATCGGCAACTATCGCGCCCTATCTGCTTGTTGTCTGTAGTGTGCAAACTCTTTACCGAGTTATTCTTGACAGGATCGGAAGAGAGTTAGAAGGGCAACCGTGCGACAAGATGGGTATCAAAGAGGATTCAGCACGATAGGCCACATACACAAGTTCAAGGCTCATCGAAGTGCCCGTACAAGATGCCGCTCTATCCCACCTCCATCATCTTGAAAAAGGCCTTTGACTCGCTTGAGACTGAAACCGTCATCAGCGCCTTGAGCAATCAAGTTGATCTTAGTTAGTACATCAAAAAAATTCCTGAGCTGTATAAGCTTGACTTCACAACCATTATCACAGCATTCTACAAAGATACATCATAGAGAGGCGTACGACAAGGTTATACTAGGTCGCCGAAGCTATAGTGCCGCTCTAAAGAATGTCATGCGTAAGTTGGAATGGGACGACATGGGAGTGAACGTCGACAGTCGGCAACTACATCACCATCGCTTTGTTTATGACATCGTAGCATTAAACCGAGCATTACGCAAGCGGAACGAGTGCTAACCCAGTTTGAGGACGTGTGTGGAAAGATTGGTCTATGACATACGCTTTAGAAAAATCGACAGTGAGGAAGCAGGATAAACACGCAATTAGCTTATCGAACGTGCTGTTGAGAGAGCGATGTTAGGATTGAACCAATTCACGCAAATGAGGCAAGGAGTACGGAGTTCTAGCTCGTCAGAGGTCGAAGATCAAAAACGCTGCCGCATATGCCAAGCAGAACAAGATAAGACGGACGGACACGTAATGTGCTTTGCGACAACCGGTGGAACTTGCTGGCGATGTTCAGAAAGTTTCCATTTGATCCCCTTTGTTGTCGTCCTCCTGGCTCGTAACTGCAAGTGGATGTTCAGTCGAAGATCCAAAACCAGCAACCGGTGTTGTACGCAAATGCGTGTGTCGTCGTGGTGGACCTTCGCGTCCATTACCATCGGTAAGTGGCTTCGGTGCAGCATCCAATAGTCAATCATCTGAGTTGAGCGATCCCCACTCGCGTATGTAATCGAGTGCGACTCCCTCTTTTTGAAAAATGTGTTCGCAATGGCCAAGTTGTGTGCTTCTGCTGCTTTTAGAATGCGTTTTTTATCCTCGTTCCTCTGGCCGTAACCATTTTCACCATGGTATCGTTTGAATCCATCATGTATGTAGTCAATGTGCCCATTAATATCGCCTCCTAAAAATATGCTGCGGCGTTGAACTTCCTTAGTAGGATGTCAAAGTCCCTCCAAAACACGTCCTTCTCGGCTTCGGCAATGCGGGTTGCGGAGCATAGCACGGGATTATTCGACGAGTGGCATCATCTGCTTCGATCTTCATCGCCATCGATCTGTCTGAAATGCGCGTCACTTCGGTCACTAACTCGCGGTATCTATCGCTGACGATGACCGCGATTCCGTTCTGGCGGCTGCTATCTCTCGTGTAGTATAAGCGATATCCGTCGCCGATGTTCTTAGCCTGCCTCCCTTTCCATTTCGTTTCTTGTAAACATGCGATATCGATATGTCGCTCCCTCAGTCTATCGCATAGCTCTCGGCGCGGCTCGTCAGCTTTCCTATGTTACTCGTCGCTAGTCGGATTTCCTGGCTCGCTTCTTTGGCCTGCCTCGTCCGGGGCAGGTAGCCCTAGCTCATTATTCGCTCCATGCGGGCAATGACACGCGTCGCCTCCGGGGGACGCCTTAGCAGCTTGACGAAAATCCTTAATAGTCCGATGCATGTGACACGACGGTTTCGTACAGTGCCCGGCGCGTCGCTCCGCTTGACGGGGACAGTGCCCTCGTCGCTTGCCGGGGTTGATCTCCGTTTCCAGCCGGCACCGCGGGGAAATGACGATGGGACTTTGCCGGCCTGGTCCGGATCGGTTCAGAAATGGAATTTTCTATTCGGAACATACGTACAGGCACACAGACACACACGCAGACACACACACACACAAACACACACAAACACACACACAAACACACACACACACAAACAGACATTCAGCTCTATATATAAGATTCGATAGCGTTCGGATGAACTCGAATTAGACCTACAATGCTTACTAGGTGTTTTGCTCAAGCTTGCACACTTTTGTGTAGCGATTATCATAATTTTGCGACTCAAAATGCACGAAAATTTGGCTTTAGAAAAGCTCATAACTTTTTTCAGAACAACGCATCGCAGATATAGAAGGTATATCTGTGATCAGCTTTTTAGGCTCTATCCACTGGTATAGATCTCCTTCCGAATCGCCACATTGACTAAGTGAACTTCCCTTGTGAGTAGTGTCCTTTTGCTCAAACTGAATGCGGTGTTTTGAGAGTCTCTCTTAGCGCCTGTTGTATACCTGTTCATGCACTCGCTTTTTTTGCTTGATTCCGACCTTTTGATAGTAGACGCTAAATTGGTGCTCTAGAATAGCCAGCCCAACTAGCTTTTTCAGCAATCTTCAGGTGATAACGTCATTTAGAAGGTGTCAGACACATCCACCATAAGCAGTCATAAAAAAGATTGGCCATATTAGCTGGCAAACCCGGCTTCGTCTGGCTATGTCAATAATATTTCCATAACAAATATGCTCACTTACTCCCCCGTGCCAACTCCTGCCTAGGTGACGCTTTGCAAAAATTGACAGAATCGATATCGATCGATGGCGAAAAGTAGCCTACGACAACAGCCCCGTCCTGAAGTGTTGTGCCAAGTTTGGTCCGGATCGGTTTGAAATAAAAATTCCTATTTGGAACACACGTGCAGACAACATACATAGAGACAAACAGACATTCAGCTTTATTCATACAGATATTCAGCCTAATCAGTTGATGAGAAGAAAGACGCCTAAATTCGTTACGTATTTTTTAGACTCTCGGTACTTGGTGATATTACTATTTGTTAAGGCTGCGACAGATAAAAAGCAAATGTTGAGTGGTTCTTGCCCGGAACTAAGCGAAGAGCAGCTCGAAATGTGGGACGATTATTTGGTGAGTTGAACAATTAGATTGATTATTTTAATATCAAAATGCCGATACATCAGCTTTAATGGTTTGTATTCTGTTAAGTTATCCCATAATTCCTTTTTATATTCGGACCTTCAATTCGATATTTCTCAAGGACTAGTATAATCACCTATTTGCGGGGAACACAGAACTGATACAGGCAAAGTTTAAAAATTGAGCGCATTATTTTTTCTTGGTTTGTAGCCATCAGAAAATTGCAGCAAGTGCATGTATAAATTTCCGATGAAGGCGGGAGTATATGCATGAGAAAGTGGGAAGTTTGCAGAGTCGTTTCAAATGAGATTTGATGATTTTTGTTTCCGGAAAATCGGATTTTTTGATTGACTTGAGGACTTAATAAATTTGGTGTGAACTTTTGAACGCCATCTTGTAAAGCTTGCTTTGATCTGTCGAGTAGTACCTCGCATTCTATTAGGAGTTCAAAAAGAACTGATGTATGTCGCTGAAAACTCAGGTATGAAAAGACTTATGGGACAACCTAATATATTTGGGCACCAAAGAACAAAAACGAAAATTTCCGGAAGGCGATGTTCGGACAAAATTTTAAATCAATTCTATTTTCTTTTTTATGCTTTACCAGTGCTTCACCACTGCTTCGCAAAGGCTCGCACTGGCCCTGCTATCTATATGCTTTTCTCATTCTCACACAATAATGACAATAGACTCACCACGCTATGCGGTCTATCACGAATGATTTATAAACAACTATATATTCCAAAAGCTTTTCCATATGAGATCGGTAATTTCGCATAAACGGAACTTTTCTTGAAAGAACAAATGCAAATTTGGATCGGTTTTTGGACTTTTCATGGCTTGATATGCGCGATATGATGCCATAATACCGTGGGCTACATATCTGTACAAAAATCTTCTTAAACGATAGGGTAAAATCTTGGAATTGAACATATACGCAACCAATTTTTTTGGCGCCGTTTTCGCAAAGTAATAAACTTTAGTTCAATTTTTTAGGCTAAAGACCATGGCTTGCATATGAGCTTGTCAAACATATCCGTGAATTTGCAAAAATTTGCGCTACAGACTCAATTTTACTGGCCAAAAGACATGTGGATCCGGTTGACGCGCATTTTCTGAGGGATCCACACAATGGATCCGCTCGTGCTTTTGTATGGTAGACTCTCATGTTGGTAGCAGGCGCTGTGCAGAATTTGGGCTCAGGAGTTGGCTGGAACACGTTCTATGAACTTCGTGACAGACAGACAAACTTACACACACAAAAACACGTAAACATCTTTAGCCCGTTATTATAAGTTATAATTCCGCTTTTTTTTACCGAAAACCAAAAAGCATGGATCATGGTTTCACTACTTCAAAACAGAAGCACAGTTATATGTGCGGATACAACAACAAATCCTGCGCACTATGTTATTCCTTTCCAGAATAACTTCTGATAACAACGGAAACCAAGAAAGGATAACGAACTGTAAACGCTTTTTGACATGAAAACGAGCAACGCGATCTTACTTACATGGGTTATAAAAATGTGCAAATGACTTGTTTATTTTTGTAAATAATTAAAATAATTTTCAAAATTTTTTGAAAATTCAAATTAGCCTCATGAAAAAAAATTTTTCGGGGGCGTGAGGACCCGCAAAAGTTTTAAGAAGCCCCCCAAAAAACGGAATGCGTGGCTAACGCCACGCACCTTTATCTGAAAAAATTTTTTGCCGCCCCCCCCCCCGGTCCGAAATCCTGGGACCGCCACTGCCCTGCAACAAACGTCTTTTCACAGGGAGCATAAGCGCGTTTTAAAGCGAACATCTGACTGAGTAAAATTATTCAGAACGATCTTCGCGCTCAAATGAGTAGTAATGAATGACTTACTTCAACAGACTGGACACGCATATTTTTCTTACTAAGGCTGAGTACTGATCCCGAAGTTCCGAAACAGTCCCAGCATAGTTCTCGCACTGTACTGGAACTGTGCCGGGACTGTGCTGCAGGCGCTGCAGCAGCCCGCATACGATTTCAAGCGGCGCGAAATAACATTTTTTGACTTTCTGCCACAATTTTCATAGTGAATTTTGCCCGTTTTCAACTCATTCTCGTATCTCGCTTGCTCATCTGATTGAAGAAGTTCCAAACTTGGAGAGTGATACAAGGATGAGCGCTATGGTTTTATGCATCAGCTGAAAACCGTCACAAAATTGCCGCTTCCATCTGCGCACATTTCTCCAATTCGAAAATTTTCTCGCAGAAGCGGAACATCACTCAAGAACGAAAGAGCAAGCAGTAAAAGTTATGCAAAGAAACTAGGCTAAAGCACCCAAAAAAACCCAGTATCATGAAAACACAAAGAAAATTTGCGATCTTTGCAATCGTGAAGGTTATATCAATCCCCTCTTAGGACAGATGAAGATATCTGGGACGCAGCGACTTTCTGAAATATAAAAAGCGTTCAACAGAAAGAAGGAGAAGGGGCGCGCAAAGGATTCGTTTCAATTTTGTGGTTCTTTATAACACGAGAAGAAGCAAGGTGGAGAATGAGACGAAAATGGGCAAAGCTTGCAATTAGAGCCCTTGAAGAGTCACAGATTGCATTCTGCGCCGCTTAAAGCGTTTGTCGGCCGCAGCGCATGCAACACAGTTCCGCAGTGCGAGAACAGTGCTGAAACTGTTCCGGAACTTCGGGACTAGTATGAACCTAAAGTAAGGCAAACTCGACTCCGCCTGCCCCTGTTTCCTTACAACATAACCCCTTCCCGCTCCCTTCTGTATGCCAAAACCTTACCTCCCACTATGTTTTGTGGTCAGCATGATCACTTACCCAACCCCAGGCCAATTCCCGCAATCAAAAGTTTGTAAAAAATTGATAAAATTGATGGAAGTGTCATTCGGTATCTAACGTTTAGAGAGCGAGCACGCTTTGCGTGCGTTTGATCAACAAGTTTACGAGTGAGTTAAACGCGTTTTAATTGATTTATCACTAGGTTTTTGGGAGGAGATGTCTGATCTCATTCAAAAAAAGCAAGCTGGAACATGTTCCTCCACGAACTCCCAATAGTAATTCACTAAAACGCGTTGAAACGCACTCATAAAATTGATAATCAGACTTACGTAATCGCGTCTCTTAGTAAGAGAATGAATGATAATCGACAACTCTAACAAGGGAAGGATACCTTGTCGAAGTGGCGTTTCCATATGAAATGTACACTTTCTTATAGAGCATTAAACGCTAATTCCAAATCTGCTTTCCTTATCTGCAAAGCGTTTCTGGGAGGAGAGTTGTGGGAATTTTTTCATGTGAAGATTTGAAACGCGGTACAATAAAATCATCTGAAACTTTAGTCCGTGAGCTAAAATGGGGTCATAATTATTACCAGAGGCTCTTATTTAATAGACAACTTCAATCTAATAAATTCATGCCAGTCATTACTTCTTTTAAGCGCCGGAAAGATCTCAATATTTGTTTTTATCTTAGCCAAATTATAATACTTATACCTCAAAAAATTCCCAGAACTCTCCTCCCAGAAGCGCTTTGCAGATAAGGAAAGCAGATTTAAAATCAGCGTTTTATATTCTATAAAACAGTTTACATTTTATATGGAAACGCCACTTCGACCAAGTATCTCTCCCTTGTAAGAAGAAATCTGTTATCATAATTAACATGCTCACCCCTGTGCCAACTCCCAGCCCAGCTCAAACTTTGCAACAAAAAGACACGGTATAATTAATAGATTCAATGACTGTTTCTCCAAAGTATTATATGTCTACTCTGTCTACTCTTATAATCAGCAAGCTCGCTTACCCTTACCCAGTGTGCCAACGTCAGCCGTGTTACTCGAAGTTAAGACCCATGAAATTGATGACATTGATTGATATTTGTGAAACTGATATTGTGTTCGTGATTGGCATACTCACTGTGCTGACTCCCAAGCCACTTATAAGGATTATAAAAATGTGCAAATGACTTGTTCATACTTGTAAATGATTAAAATAATTTTTAAAAATTTTTAAAAATTGACCCGCAAAAATTTTGAGAAGCACCCCTAAAATTTTTCGGAGTGCGTGGCTAACGCCACGCACCTTCATTTGAAAAAAATTTTTGTCGCCCCCCCCCCGAGCGGAAATCCTGGGTACGCCACTGGTCGATAACTGTTCGAAAACTACTTGCAGACACACACACACACACACCTACAAACAAACATCTGTATGAGATACTCACCATTTGTATTTGAGCGTAATGAAAACCGTTGGAGAAGTTATGCTTGTTAGGTCATGTTATTGCATGCTCCTGCACCCCTCTAATGAGCGGAGATAAGCCGTCAGTAGAGGATGCTCGCGCTGGCTCTATCCTAGCGGGACAAGATGGGTTAGAGGTACGCATGCCTCTATTAAGCGCCGCCTCCACTGACTGCCAATTCTAAAACGTACTTCCTGCCATTCCGTCAAATCGCTACATCCACACGACTTGGCGATTTGCCGGATGTCTACAGATTAATCGTGCGCGTGTCTTAAATGCCTACCCCTCTGTATGTTTTCGTAAAGGCATCAAATCTGGCCCAAGCGAAGCTTTGGCTTATCATGAAGAATCGTTGCAGTGCCAGATTGCGCATCGACAGATTGTTGAAGTATGCTCTAGGCCTAATACAGTATGCACTAGCGAAAAACTGCGGAGGTAAGGCACCCGTTTTTTCAATGTTTTTACATTGAAAAAGCGTTAATTTATTCGCTTTAAATATTATGTTCACTCTTCATAGTGAATATGTCTGATATTTGCGAACACGGGAAGAATTATAACCAGCTCTTGATTATGAAATTTCACTGAAAAAAACCCAGTTTGACTAGATATTTTTTCTCATCATGTTAAGAATTTTTAGCCCTCTAATTTCACGCGTATAATTTTTAGCCCTCTAATTCACGCGTATAAGGCGCACTTTTTCGGATTTCGAATATATTCGAATGTTTTATTCAAATGATCGAATTTCTATTCGATTCGGACCCAA